ATTTCAGGCTGAAGACCATGGAAACATGGAACTTAAGAAAGAAGAAAGAGCATTGGAAATAGAAAAAATGTGGCAAAATGTAAAGGATTGCTCTTTCCCTTTGATTTTGTGAAATTACATACTATCAGAAATTATACATTGTTTATCAGGCTTACAAACTATATCCATGTTAATCCTAGGTCAACTATAGCAACAAGAATGTGGGGACAGTGTTGAATGGACTTATATTGTTAGAAGTCTCCAAAGTTTTATATTAATATTCCCCAATTTAAAAACATTTTTTCCATCACCCTCTTCGACCTCCACCCAGCCCGCCCTCACAAATCACCACACTGTTGTCATGTCTGTGAGTTCCTTTGTTTCCCCTTTTTTGCTCAATCCCTCTACCCCCTCAACCATCCCCAGAGCTGCCATCCTGCTCTCCATCTATGAGTCTGTCTCTATTTTCCCTGTTCAGTGTGTTCATTAGATTCCACATATGAGTGAAATCATATGGTACTTGTCTTTCTCTGGCTGGCTTGTTTCACTTAGCATAATGTTCTCAGATCCATCCATACTGTCGCAGAAGTAAATTTCTCTTCTTTTTTTATGGCCAGGTAGTAGTCCATTGTGTAAATGTACCACAGCTGTTTTATCCACTCATCTACTAATGGGCACTTGGGCTGCTTCCAAATCTTGACTATTGTAAATAGAGCTGCAGTGAATATGGGGGTACATATATTCTTTCAAATCGGTGTTTCAGCACTTGTTTGTTGATTCATTGATGATAGTCATTCTGATGGGTGTGAGGCCGCACCTCACTGTGGTTTTAAATTGCATTTCCCTGATGATTAGTGACATTGAGCATCTTTTTATATGCCTATTGGCTACCTCTGTGTCCTCTTTAGAGAAGTGCCTATTTAGGTCCTTTTCATTCAGATCCCATTTTTAATGGGATTGTTTTGTTTCTTTTGGTGTTGAGTTTTGTAAGTTTTTCATAAATTTTGGGTATTAACTCATTGGATGTATCATTGGTGTATATGTTCTCCCATTCAGTGACTTGTCTTTTCATTTTGTTGATGGTTTCCTTTGCTGTGCACAGACTTTTTAGTGTGATGTAATCCTGTTTGTTTACCGTTTCTTTTGCTTCCCTTGCCTTAGTATTACACTGTTAATTCAGCCCTACAGCTCAGTCCTGAGAAGCAGTGCCTCTCTGATGCACACGGCTGCAGGCATGAGTGAATTCCCAGATGATTGCTCTGAGTGAAAGAAGCCGGGTGGAAATGAGCATATTCTCTGGTTCCATTTGTATGATTCTAGAAAATGCAAAGTAATCTCTGGTATCAGAAAGCAGATATTAATAGTAGTTGCCTGGGGCCAGAATGGTCGGGGCAGATGAGACAAAAGAAAGCTACTTTGGGATGACACGGTCACGATAGTGGTGGAAAAATGTTCACAAATGAACACATGTGTTAAATTTTATCAAATTTTGCCCTGGCTGGTGTGGCACAGTGGATGAGCACAAGCCTGCGAACCAAAGGATTGACGGTTCGATTCCCAGTCAGTGCACAGGCCTGGGTTGCGGGCCAGGTCCCCAGCTGGGGGCGTACGAGAGGCAACCACGCATCCGTGTTTTTCTCCCTCTCTTCCCCCGCCCCCCGCTCTAAAATCAATCAATCAATCAATCAATTTTTGAAAAAATCATTTGAAATAATACTTTAAAAAATTTTTAATCAAATTTTATTCCTTAATTATGTTGCTTATTGTGCCAGTTATACCTCAGTAAATCAGCTTTTTAAAACTTTAGACTGTAAACAGTTAAAAGTATGTAATGCAGTTCCTATAGGAACTGCTAATAAATAATGCAAACATACATAGACAAAAAGCCAACACAATTAAAATGGAATTATAAAAAAAAATTTTGTTAATGATAAAGTTTGCAGAGAAGGAGCAACAAGACAAAGAATAGACTGGAGAAACAGGAAATACATGGTAAATTTTATTTCTACATCTACTTCAACCTTTTCGGTAATCACATTAATTCCAAATCAGTATTAATTCAAAAGTAGAAATGGTTGGAATTAATGAAGAACCAAAACCCAACTACTGCATATGTGTTTCTTAGAGATGCAGTTTAAAAGCCAAACAGATATGTTGAAAGTAAATGGATGGAAAAAGGATACAACATCCAAATAGTAAGCCCAAAAAAAAAAAAAAAAAAAAAGCATTCTACAGCTCTCCAAGTATCAGATGAAGCTGAGTTAGGACAAATAATATTGCCAGAGATAGAGACCTTTTGTAGTGTTAAAGGATTGATTTATCAAGAAGTCAAAATAATTATCCATGTGGATATGCCTAATAATAGAACTTCAAAATACATGAAGCAAAAATCTACAGGATTAAATGGAGATTATAACAATCCTTTCTTAGCAGTTGAGAAAAATGATTCGATGAATACAACTCGGTAAAGTCATAATGTGAACACTATCAACCACCTTGACTTAACTGTCATTCATAGAAAAGACTCACCGTCTACTGCAGACTCACTGAACGCAGAAAAAGTAACCACCTTGTGGCGCAGTGCTGCAGGTTAGGGCTGCCTCAGGGAGGGCGCAGGCCCAGGTGCTGCGGCCACGCTCTGTCCTGTGGCCTAAGAGAATTTGGGTTACACATGTGTATGAATTAATAAGCTCATTAGCGGGTACACTTAAATGTGCATTTTACTACGATGTTCATTGTACAAGTTTGTAAATTTTACTGTGTGAAAATTTTCATAATAAAATGATAGGAAAAGAATCGATGAGAAATGGAGCCAGTAAACACAGGAGGGAATAGCACTGCGAGAGCAGAGAACAGACTCGACATGAGAGAAGGCAGAAAGGAAGGACGGAGGGGCCTGCGTGAGAGCAGCTGTTGTTGAGTACTCCATGGGCTTTTAGGTGGAAGAGGGCTGCCTTTTATCTTGTTTACATCCAGTCAGTTGCACTGAGCTCAACAATGTGTTTATTCTGACCTTTTTTCTTAATTTAACTTTTTATTTTAAAACACTCTTAAAGTTACAGAGAAGTTGCAAAAACTATCCAAAAAATTTCCTGAGCCGTCCGGAAACCGCATGCTACCCTGACGAAGGGCGTTCCTAGACACTGCAGCGCGTGCTCCCCAGACGGAGCTCTCCGGGAACGCAGGCCAGCCCCCCGACGCGAATGCTCACATCGACGACTTACTGCTCACTTCAGATTCCATTCAGGCTTCTTCAAATCTCAGTCATTTATAGATCAGAAATTGGCGTCCGAATCAGTCTCATCATCACTTTCCTAGGACTTGGGTATTGAATGGGACATTGACAGGCTTCATTAGGACCTGCTCGCAGGGCACCTGCACTTTTTTTTTTTAATTGTGGTAAAACACACAGCACATAAAATTTACCACCTTAACTCGTTTTAACATCTAATTCTTTATGAATGTCACATAGTTAAGTAGGGTTACTTACATTCACATTGCTGTACAGCCCATCTTGAGAACACTTTGATTTTTCAAAACTGAAGCTATATGCATTCAGCAACAACTTTTAGTTCCCTCCTGTCAACTCAGCCCCTGGAGACCACCATTCTCCTTCCTGTCTTTATTAATTTGAATACTCCAGGAACCTCACATAAGTGCAATCATACAGTATTTGTCTTTTTGGGGACTGGCTTATTTCATTTAGCGCAGTGTCCTTGAACTTCATGTTATAGCATGGGTCAGAATTTCCTTTTTAAATAATCCGATGTGTAAGTGTATCGTATTCTGTTTATTCATCCATCAATGCACACTTCAGTCACCTTCACCTTTTGGCTATTGTGAATAATGCTACTATGAATATGGATGTGCAAAGGTCTTGAGTCAGTGCTTTCAATTCTTTTGTTTATATATTCCTGGAAATGGGATTGCTGGATCATCTGGTAATCCTATCTTTAATTTTTTGAGAAACCACCCTAGTGTTTTCCACGGCAGCTGCATCCTTTTGCATTCCCATCAACAGTATACAAGTTGTCTAATTTCTTTCCACGTCCTTGTCTACACTTACTTCTTTCTTTCCCTTTTTTTCTTGTTAATAGTAGCCACCCTGGTAAGTGTGAAGTGGTTTTAATTATATTGCATGTCTTTGTAGATGCCGTTGTGTGTTTCTGCTGTGTTATCATTGAGATCTGAGAATACACATGATGTGATTTTATTCTCAAAGTACTGTGTTCATCAGAAAAAGTGTGTGTCTTCTGTAGATGTTGCCCATCTAGTCTATGAATGTCAGTTAAGTCAAGGTGGTTGAAAGTGTTCAAATCGTGTATGACTTATTCTTTTCATCAGATCATTTCATTAGTTGTTGAGAAAAGGGTGTAATAAATCCATTTTAATTTTTTCAGTTTTTGCTTCAAGTGTTTTAAAGCTTCATTGTTGGGCACATAATACCTTTATAATTATGACTCTGATGAATTAATCCTTTTAACAAAACAAAAGGTCCCTCCTTTATCTGCGGTAATACTATTTGTCTTAAATCAGCTTCATCTGATATTATGATAGCTACAGCAGCTTTCTTAGGCTTGCTATTTGGTACATCTTTCCATTTCTCTGCATTCAATATTATCTCTGTCTTGCTTTTAAATGGCACTTCTAATAGTGTGTGATTGGGTCTTGCTCTTCATCCTTACTAACCATTTCTGCTACTGAATTGTTTAGGGGATTTACTGATATGGTTGAAATGGTTCTTACAATTTTATGATTAATTTTGTTTGCACATGTGGAATGAATACATTTTGTTTTAGTGCAAGAGAAAAGAATATTGGCAAATTTTTCAAGCGTAAGTGACTTGCTAGTCTCCAAGGCTAAGGGACCAATGTGAAACAGAAGAATAAGAGCGCAGAGCTGGAAGAAAGACCCCAGTTCTGTCTGCTTTTGGCAGCTGGGCTGAAGAGAATGTGAGAGGGGTCCTGGGAGGGAGGAGGGTCAGCAAGCCACTCATGCCCATCCCCGCTCTGTCCCCACAGTTGCCTCTACAGTTTTCAGCGTCCTTTCCCATAACCGCAGTGCCGGGAAGAGTTCACCCGCACCCAGCGCCCCTGTGGGGACGGAGTGACGACCTCTCAAAGAAGTGTCAGCCAGGTACGTCCAAAAACCGAGCTCCAGCCCTTACTCCACTTGTCTCCAGGTCCTTCCAGCCCTCTGATTTCCGAAGTTTCTGGTTCTTCACCCACAGGTATTTATTAGATGCCTTCTGTGTGCCCGGCACCGTGCTAGAGGAGGGTGCAAGGCCCCGCCCTCCTGGAGCTCTCCTGAGACGGTGTCCAGACCCACAGATGAACGTGATGGACAGATGAGATAGGAACCATGAGGATGACTGAGTGATGGATGGGACAGAGACTGGGTTGAGGAGGTGTCCCGGGGGTGGTGACGCAGGTGCAGAGAGCCAGGTAGAGGGGCCTCAGAGGGTCCCCAGGGGGCAGGGGTTGAGCTTGTTTGAGCAAAGCAAGGGGCAGCCGGGGTGAGTGCGGGGGGCCGGGTGGGGGGAGAGGTCACCAGGGCGGGCGGGAACAGAGCACAGACCTGGGGTACTCCGGAGGGAGCAGAGGTGTCACTTTTTGAGTGAGGTATTTAAGAAAGGCAGAAATCTCAGTGTTTGATACTGATTATATGTTGAAATCATACTACTCTGTTGGATATTTTAGGTTAAAAAATACATAGTTAAAATTAATTTGGGCCTTCTTTTTACCCTTTTGAAGTGGCAACTGTGAATTTGAATTTCATGTGTGGCTTATAATACATTTCTGTTGGCAGTGTTGGTCTAAGGTATGTGGTGGAGGCAGAAATGGAGAAAAGACTAAGGCCAGGCTGAGTGGATTTCCCTGTTTGGATTCCACCGATGGCCAAAAGGAGTGGCCCTTAGCCACCACTGCCGGCCTCTGGCAGTCTTGTGGGGATGTACTGACCAGCCTTCTCTCCATTCACAGGGTATTACCTGTCAGAATACAGTGCATCTTGCGTACCGTGCACGGATGGAAAGGATTTTACCAACCATTCGAACACCCTCTCTTCTTGCCAACTCTGTTCTAAATGCTTTTCAGGTAGAGAACACATGGACCCCCATGCCTACAGTGAGGATGCTAGGCAGTGAGATGAAAATTGTATCGAATGGGGAGCCAAAAGCCTGATTTCCAGCCCAGTTTGGTCTTTGTCATACCCTTTCTTTTTTTTTTTTTAATTCCTCACCCGAGGACACGCTCATTGATTTTAGAGAGAGGAGAAGGGAGGGAGAGGAGCATCCGTGTGTAAGAGAAACATTGATCGGTTGCCTCTTGTACACAACCTGACTGGGGACTGAACCTGCAACCTGGGTATATGTCCTGACTGGGAATTGAACCCACAGCCTTTCAGTTTATGGGATGACACTCCAACCAACTGAGCCACACTGGCCAGGGCTTCATCATACCTTTTTTAATGAGAGGACTTAGGTCAACAAAATAAAATGTAAACAAATTATTTTTATAATCATGTCATAGAGTAGGGACATCTTTTAAACCGTCAGATGACAGTAGTGGGAAATATCTGCCCCTTGATGGGGGGACTCTATAGTTACAGCGTAAAAGGTGTGGCCAAGTGGAAAAGTGCTGGTTTGTAGCACGGCCCGGGCCACGCGCCTCCTAGGCTGCGCTCTGCGCTCTGCGCTCCTGGCCGGGGCTCTGCCTCCCTCAGCCTCCCTCAGCCTCGGGCCTCAGGCCCCCACAGGGTCAGGTTTGCGGAAGTTGCCCAAAGGCTCCTCTCCTTCCAGGGTCTCCCGGATTATACCACACCCGTCTTAATCACCCTGGAAACCGAGAGAGATTTCCTCCCAGTCCTGGTCTTTTTGACACACGGGGACAGGGGAACACTCTTGCCTTTTCTGTGCCTCATGGGCATTGCTGCAGAAACGGAGTGAGGCTGAGTGGGAGAGGGTCTGGGTGGGGAAAAAGGGCGAGGGACATGTGAAGGAACCATATCCCCCCAACGGTATCCTTTGTCTTCAGATAAAGTCGAAACAGCGCCGTGCACCAGGACCATGGACACCCAGTGTCAGTGCAAACCTGGCATGTTCCAGGATGACAATTCGCCTGAGTTTTGCCAAAAGTGCAGCCCTGAGTAAGACCCGAAAGCCGCGGGGCTCCCCGCCTCAGCAGACCCAAGTTCCCTGTACCCCTTTCTCTGTCCTGCTTCCACGCAGCCTGGCCCCCCCCCCCGCCCCCCGCCGGGCCTCCCGAGCCTGCGGTGGCCCCTCCTTGCCCACCTGCACGTCTTCACACCGCCCGGTAGCATCCTCTTCCCTCACCTCCTCAGCACGGTTTCCCTTCGGCGGGGCTCACCTTCCCGCTGGGCACAGTGGGCATCTGATTGGGGCCCATGGTCCAGTCAGTGGCCCACGCAAAGGCGAAGTTGCTTTGGATACCAGAACGAGAGAATTGAGTAGAATACAGCTGTGCTTATAATCACCTTTGTAGCAATTCAATCCTAAGATGTTCTTATAGCATTTTTTTGTGCGGACAGGGGCCCATGAGCACAGAAGTGCCCACAGCCAAGTCATGACGAGGCCGAGCCTGTAGCTTCCCGGAAACCCGGAGCCAACTCAGCCTGCCTTCTCACCAGGGCCCTGTTCCCTCCACCAGGCTGCCTTTTCCTTGTTGGTAGAGGCCTAGAGCAGTTTGCTCTTCCCTGACTTCCAGTGTGGCTGTGATTGGTAGGGACAGGCAGCGGGCGGAGGACAAGGGAGTCCTTATATGAAAGGTTGACTAGAGGATGAGGCTCAGCTTGTGCCCGGAGGGCTTCTGACCCTTGACCTGGAGTGAGGTGCCCCCTCTCCTGGGCTCCCCCCGCAGCCCGGGGTGCTCAGCGCAGGCCCCACAGAGAAGGCCCGGCTCCTGAGGCTGCCGTTCCGGGCACTCAGCAGGAGCCCCAGGGGTGGGAGGGCCATGCTCAGCTCCTTCCCGGACGCAGCAAGGGGGTGAGGGGACCTGTCGTGCAGGCCGCAGACGCTGCTGCTTTTTCCACTCTCTAGAGCCTGGCTAGGGGGTCGCCCCCTCATTCTCTTCCTCTTCACAGAACCCCTTCACGTCCTCCCTGTGTCTGAACCTAGGTGCCCCGCTGACATGGTCATGGTCAAGCCCTGTACCCCGTGGAACGACCTCGAGTGTGTGAAGCAAGAACCAGGTACCCAGGCCAGCGAGAAGACCCCTGGTTTCTGGAGAACCCGCAGCCTGGAGCCGCCCATCACTTTTCCTCCCTCCTCAGGCAGTTCGTGGTCATGGTGGGTCGCAATTGGATTCTGCGTCGTTGCTCTGCTGCTCTCGGGATGTCTGTGTTATCGTTACAGGAGCACCATCCTTCAAGGTGAGGTTGGTGGGGTGGTGGGCAGGTGCTGAGCTCTCTGCTGCCTCCCTCACTTTCTGCTGCGATTCTCCAGGCAGCAAGGCCCTCCCCTCCATCTCCCACATCTGCTGGGGCTCTCCGGCCTGCTCTGCTCACGTTCCCTGGGCCCACCTCGCCTGCGCCTCTGGAGGGGTCGTATTAGTTCCCCTCTCTTGGGGCTGACAGCCAGCTCCCCTCCTGGCCACGTCTGGGAGGCAGGCCACTGCTTCACGCCTTCAGGGCTTCCAGTCAAGGCGGAGAAGTGCTCATTGTGCCTGTTCGGTGACAACAGTCAGGGGGAGAGGTCAGCGGTTTTTTACAGCTTTGGTCAGAGCAGAATCCAACAGAGATTTGATAATGTGTGTGGGTTTTTGTTCGTTTGTCTGTATACTTCTTTCCCTCTTTCCTTCCCCTCCCTGAGGGTGTCCCAGAGTTGGATTGCCCCTCCCTGTCACCAGAAACAAAGCGCCTTGTCAGTGTCTTTGCCCCGGGCCCACTCCTGCCTCCTGCACTGTCCCTGGAAGGCCCGCCCCGCCACTAATGCAGTGCCCTTTCTCTTCTAGGCTGTGGCATGGAAAACACTTTCATGAACAGAGTGAGTTGGTTTCTCTAGGACCTGGTGGCGTCAAGCCCTCAGGAACTGCTTCCTGTCCAAAATAAGGCCCTGGGTGGACATGGTCTCAGCTTGTCCTGTGCTGCTGTCCCTGGCTCTCTAAAGTGGCCTGGGGGCCTGGGCCAACTCAGGACAGCTGGCCTCTTGGGAACAGCCCAAAGGCCAGGTAGCCCCGTCCTTGCTGCTGCTTGTGACACCGCACCCACAGCCCTGCGCTCGGCTGTGGCGGTGTCAGGCAGGTGTGCTGAGCAACCCCCTTAGCATAGCGCCAGCGTCCTGGTGCCAACAGCGAAGTCCTGGTGGTGCTGAGCCCTGGGCGGGGGTGGGGTGGCGGAACCTCCTGTGTCCTTTGAGACCCCTTAGGGAGCCTGGAGCACACTCCTCTTTCCCTTCCCCAGATCTTGTCTTTGTACTCATGTGCCCCAAGAGGGCGTGAGGATCAGGACAATGTCCACAACACCTTCCTGAGCCGCGAAGACTCGCCCCCGACGCTGGCCCCTGAGGAGGAACGGGAACGCCAGGAGCACGCGGAGCCGGCAGGTGGCGCAGAAGAGCCCCCGAGAGAGGCAGAGCCTCTGCTGGTGAGTGGATGATGGCCTCTCTGCTCACCCAGGACTGTTAAAAACAGAGAAAGGTCAACGCTGGTCAGGTCTGCCGTCCCCTGGGGAAGAGGTGGCGGAGGGCGGTCAGGACCCGAGGGGAAGGGACAGGGAGCTCACCATACTGATGTGTGGCCCGTCAGCTCTGTGGAAGGTCTGCATTTTCTCACCTCTCCGTTCGTCGCTGCACCCCCAGTCTGGAACAGGCAGGCGCCGAACCAGGAGCTCCTCCCACCTGTGAGGGATGATTGAATGAAGGCTGCCAATAGCCTGCTGTGTAGTTGTAAAATAATGTAGTAAGCCATTCCTCGTAACAATAGGAATGCCAGTTATTGCAAAATTATTACATCGAACCTATGTGAAAATGAACTTTAGTCTATAAATATCATATTTGGATGGTGGCTTTTAGAAGTAGAATTTCTGGGTAAAGGTGTAGAAGTTTTTTAACTTTACGCACAGTTTTGGTTCATAATCAGTTCATCAGTTCTAATGTGACACTAAGTGGTAAAAATTTAATTTTCTCTTCCTCATAAGCTTAGAAAGTCATTCCCGTTAACATAAGGTGAAATTCTCTAATTTGTTAGAGTTGTTTTATTTATGATGATTTTTACCATATAGCAATATTATCTAAATGGAATCAACTTCGTGGCATGATTTGACTTGAGGAGTCTCTGAATTGTTCTGAGTCACTGCCTCTTTCCTCCAAGCCAGTTCACGTCTGATTCTCATTTCCCTCTGCTCTTGGTTCCTTCTTTATCAAATGTGAAATTTTTACAAAGACCTCGGACCTCTCTCCACCTGGAGTGTCCTTTTCTGTTTCTTTCTTGCATCTATAGTATGTTCTTTTTACATAAAGAGAAAGTATAAAAGGAAGAAAACAAACCAAGAAGCCATGACCCCTCGATCCTGATTAATCACTTGCCGCATTTTTTAAAAATAGTTAGAACCTACCCACAGTGAGAAGAGGCAAATGGCGTGGCCAGGTTCTCAGGGAAGGTGGAGGCCGCCTGCATTCCTTCCCCACCCCGTCCCCGCACTGTCTCACTTCCGGTAACCACGAGAGACGATTGGTTGTGACTCCTTGCTGAAGTCTTTGTACATGTGCCGTCTATGTACAATACGCTGCCAAAGGAATCTTTTTAATACATTTTAACATCTGAGAGTGCACGTACCTCTTCCTTAGCTTGCCACAACTTACTATTTCTACTCAGGTAAAATTTAGAACTATATTGTAAGATATTCTCTGTTTCCCAAAAAGTCATTAGAACTTTTTTTTATATTACCTTACATTAGTCCGGGAAGAACTGAGATCTTACAATAATCAAATTTTTTTTCTTATCAAAGAAGACAGCATTTCAGGCCAGGGGTTTTATTACGACTCGATGAAGATTTGTGTCTTCAGATAAATCCTATTTCTGGTTAAAGTTGTTTCTTTGTATTTTATGTGTTTTTGTGACCCTCACTGGTTGGATCCTGCTGCAATTCCATTTTCTAACTTCCTGTCTCTACCATGTTTATTAGCATTCACCAAGACGTGCTTTTACTTTTAAGTACTGTAGTTTACACCTTAGGGTGTTTTAAATATATAATTATATCTGAGATAATGATGATCGTTTCTGCCCCCTTCCACCAGCCCTGCCTCCTTTTCCGGTCATGTCTTGCTTCATAGTCCAGAACTCACAACGTCCAGTGGTGCTTAGAGAGGGCACATGTTTTTATCTTGATTTGATTTCTTTGGGAAGCCTGCAATGTTTCACCCAAAGGAATGGTGTTGACTCTTGTTTTTCTATAAGAAAATCTTATCATTATGGATGCAGAAATAATGTTTAATTTTACAGAATCTTTTTTCAGCCTCCATGGGGACAACCTAATAGTTCCATTTCCTTATTTAGATTATTGATACGGTACATTATAACTGATTGAAGTTCGTGGAAGAAACCCTTATATTTTGCAGGGTGTGCTCCTATATATTCTTCATTTGAGTCACATGAACGCCTGGGAGGGAGTGACCGTCCCCTGACAGGGTGGGTGGGCATGGCCTGGAACGGGGAGGAGGGAGCTGGGCGGGGTGGGGGGATGCCCCACATCTCGACCAGGTGACGGTTACTCAGGTTTCTTCAGTGGTCATGGCCGGAACAGACACTTCAGGAGTGAGCATCGCCCCAGGAATGCAGGCCTCCCTAAGCACACAGGCACGCAGCTTGTGAGGGGCACAAGGCGAAAGGTTCCTCTTTGTCTTCATAGAGAGCCGGGAAGGGAGGCGGCTGCCCCAGGTCGCACAGCTGGCTGGTTGTCAGGCCCACTTCTGGAGTCCAGGAGTCCTGACCCAGACCAAGAGCGTCCTCCACTCTATTTTATAGAAACCAGCCGGACCTGAAAGGTCTCACAGGAGAAGGGGGCCGCTGATTCCGGCGAACGACGCAGACCTCATAGAAAGTGAGTGTTTTATTGGGGGCAGTGAAGCAGTGTCCTGACTGCTGTCCCCGCGGCTGTTACGGCAGTGCAGAGCCTGCGATGCTGGAAATGGGGGGCGGGGGTCCTATGCTGACTTGTCACTGGACCACCAGGACCCTCAATCCCCTCCCCCACCACTCCCTGCCCTCCCTGCGCCCCACCCCCCAGCTGCAGACCATCCTGTCCTGTCCCAACGGTGGTCTGCAGCTCCTGCCCTTCCCTCCACCACCCTCCCTCTCCCCTGGTGTTCCCGGCTGGGTTCACCACAGGGAGGGCGCCTAAGGGGCAGTGCCGTCAGCAGGGCACCACAGGCCCAGGGAGACTACCGAGCACCTGGCCTGTGTATGGATAGGTCAGGTTTGAAGAGTTGTAATTACAAGCTACAAATTAGATTTCATACATTTGTACCCAAAAGGAATATAAAATATCCCATTGATAATTTTTTGGTTGCTTACAAATATATTTTTTATGTATTGAGTTCATACCAGATATATATTTTTTAAAGATTTTATTTACTTATTTTTAGACGTAGGGAAAGGGAGAGAGAAAGGGGGATAGGAACATCAGTGTGGTTGCCTTTTGCACGCTCCCTGCTGAGGACCTGGCCCGCAACCCAGGCACATGCGCTATCTGGGAATCGAACGAGCGACTCTTTGGTTCGCAGGCTGGCGCTCAATCTGCTGAGCCACACCGTCCAAGGCCATACCAGCTATTAAAATTAATGTCACCTGTTCCTTTTTATTTTCTTTAGTTCAGTTATTAGAAAAATGTCAGTCAGTAGTCCCGGCTCCCCTATATTCCTGTGGGTCAGTGGTGTGCCGTGCCTTCCACGCATGTCTGATGTAATCCTCAGTGCAGTCCCATAAGATGGTGGGGAGGCGGGGCTTTGCTCTGTCTTCGGGGTTAAAGTCTTGCCCCGAATGTCTGTCCCCATCTCTCTCTGCCAGTTTGTAGGTGAGGCCCAGCTGGCTGTGCAGCCAGAGACCTCCCCGGCTCCAGGCCCGCGCACTGCACATGTGCAGGTGTGGCAGCGCTGGGACCTTACTCTGAATAAGTGCAGATTCCCTCCTCTGAGGGCCTGGTGCTCCACCATCTCCCCCACCTTCTTTCCCACCCTTTGTCTCCTACCACATACTGCTTTCTCTTTCCATGACATCCACCTTCCCTCCCAGGTGGGCTTGCAGTGCCATGGGCCTAGGTGAGGCCTGCACCGTTTAGCCTGAGTCTCTGCTGATAGGACATTGGAAAGGGGTGCAGAGCAGCAGGTTACCAGCAGGGGGTGCGTGGGCCTAGACCTGTCCTTTCTGCAGGGGGTCCTACCTCACCAGACTATCTGGCTTTTCCCCACCTAGGCATGAAGCAGTTCTTCTATTACTTCGCAGATGAAGTGCCCTTTGGTTCCTGGAACCTGCTAATGAGGTCACTGGGCCTCACGGACAATGAGATCGAAGTAGCCAAAGCAAAAACACCGTACGTGCGGGAACACTTCTACGAAATGATGGTGACTTGGACCAACAAAATGGGACGGAAAGTCTCTGTTAACACCTTCCTGAACACCTTGGAAACCACGGGGCTTAAAAGTGCAAGGGAAAAAATTGAGGACCACTTGGTGGCGTCTGGGAAGTATATAGAAGGTTCTGTTTCCTGAGGGAAGAGAATCTTCAGGAGACCTGTGGTTTTTTAGTTTACCTTTTCTCCTGCAAAGGAAGCACAACTGGAATTAGCCTGGGAGAAACAGGCAGTCCTTGACCAGTACTTGAAGTTGTACTATCCGAAAACCTACAGCTCTTAAAAGTATTCCAGAACTTTTTTAATACACTTTTTATGAAATGTTTGTTGTATACTAGGGCTGATAGTTATAGGTTCATATGTATACTGAAAGTTATTTTAGTTGTTTTTCCTTCTCCTAAACTTGCACTTTTTACTTGTTATTTACTGTGTTGTAAGATTCACCCATGTTATATACCCATTTAGTTATGTCTAATTATGATAAGCATTTATATTATTTATACAAGGTGAGCCAAAAGTATGTTTACAGCTGTGATAACATGAAACGCGGAGTTTATTCTGTTTTATTATTTATTTATAATATTATATTGTATTTAGCCCATAGTAGGTCATACGTGTCTATGATTCCAGTCAGTCTGACTCCAGTCCACCTCGACAACCAGTGTTTTGTTTATTTCTTTTTTTAATTTAATCTTACTGTATTTTTCCCATTACCATACAGTCCTCTTATATACCCCTCCCCCCAGCAACCACCCCACTATTGTCCACATCCATGAGTCCTTTTTCTTTTTTTGCGCAGTCCCTCCACCCTCTCACTCCCCTGCCACTAGCTGCCATCCTGCTCTCCATCTATGAGTCTGTCTCCATTTTCCTTGTTAGTTCAGTTTGTTCATTAGATTCTTCTTTTGAGTGAAATCATATGGCATTTGTCTTTCTCTGACTGGCTTGTTTGATTTAGCATAAGGTTCTCCAGGTCTATTCATACTGTCGCAAAGGGTAAAATTGTCCTCTCTTTTACGGTCGAGTACTATTCCATTGTGTAAATGGCCCATAGTTGTTTTATCTACTCATCTATTGATGGACACTTGGGCTTCTTCCATGTCTTGGCGATTGTAAATAACGCTGCAGTGAACGTACAGGTGCGTATGTTCTTATTGAATTAGTGTTTTGGGTTCTTTTTACATATATTCCCAGAAGTGGAATTGCTGGGTCAAAAGGCAGATCCATTTTTCATTTTTTGAGGTATCTCCGTACTGCTTTCCACAGTGACTACACCAATCTGCATTCCCACCAACAGTGCCAAAGGGTTCCCCTTTCTCCACATGATTGTGAGCATTTGTTGTTTGTTGATTTATTGATGATAGCCATTCTGACAGGTGTAAGATGGGATTAATTTGCGGTTTCCTGCATTGCGGTTTTAATTTGCGTTTCCCTGATGATTAGTGACGTTGGGCATCTTTTCATGTCTGCTGGCCATCTGTATGTCCTCTTTGGAGAAGTGTCTGTTTAGGTCCTTTGCTATTTTTTAATTGAGTTGTTTTTTTGGTGTTGAGTTTTATAAGTTTTTATAAATTTTGAATAACCTCTTGTCAGATGTATTGGCAAATATGTTCTCCCATTCTGTGGGCTGTCTTTTTATTTTGTTGATGTTTTCCTTTGCTGTGCAAAAACATCTTAGTTTGACGTAGTCCCATTTATTTATTTTTTTTCTTTTGTTTCCCTTGCCTGGGGAGATATATGCAATAAAATACTGCTATAAGCAATGTATTTTATTGGATATATCCGAGATTTTGCTGCTTATGTTTTCTTCTATGGTTTTTATGGTCTCAGGTCTTAACATTTAAGTCTTGGATCCATTTTGAATTTATTCTTGTGTGTGGTGTAGGAAGGTGGTCTAGTTTCATTTTTCTGCATGTATCTGTACAGTTTTTCCAAAGCCATTTGTAATAAGTTGTCTTTAGCTCATTGTATGTGTTTGCTTCCTCTGTCGCATATTAATTGACTATAAAGGTGTGGGTTTGTTTCTGGGCTCTTTATTCTGTTCCATTGATCTATTTGTCTGCTTTTTGGCTAGTACCTGGCTGTTTTTATTACTATGGCCCTGTAGTATAGTTTGATACTAGGTAGCATGATTCCGCCAACTTTGTTCTTTTTCAGGGTTGCAGTTGCTGTAAGGGGCCTTTTGTGGTTCCATGTAAATTTTGAAATACTTGTTCTAGGTCTGTGAAATACATCATTGGAATCTTGGTAGGAATTGCATCGAATCTATAGATTGCTTTGGGAAGTATGGACATTGTAATGATATTAATTCTTTCTATTCATGAACACAGTCATAAGCTTCCACTTATTTGTATCTTCTGTCTCTTTCTTCAGTGTCTTATAATTTTCCTAGTACAAGTCTTTTACATCCTTGGTTAGATTAATTCCTCGGTATTCTTTTTTTAGCAATTGTGAATGGGATTTTCTTAATTTCCCTTTCTGTTAGTTAATGACATAAAAATACAACTGATTTGTGGGTAATAATTTTGTATCCTGCTAGTTTGCTGAATTCATTTATCAGTTTTAGTAGTTTCTTAGTGGAATCTTTGGGATTCTCTATGGTACAGTATCATGTCATCTGCAAATGACAGTTTTACTTATTCCTTTCCAGTTTGGATGCCTTTTAGTTCCTCTTATCTGACTGCTGTGGCTAGGACTTCCAGTGCTGTGTTGAATAAGAGTGGTGAAAGTGGACATCTGTGTCTTGTTCCGGTCTTAGGGGGGATGCTTGTAGTTTCTGCCCATTGAGGATGATGCTGGCACAGGATTTGTCATATATGGCCTTTATTGTGTTTAAGTTGTTCCCGTGAATCCCACTTTGCCGAGAGTTTTTATCATAAATGATGTTGGATTTTATCAGATGCTTTTTCTGCATGTATTGATATGATCATGTGGTTTTTACCTTCATTTTGTTTTTGTGGTGAATCACATTTAGTGATTTGTGAATCTTGTTACCAGCCTTGCATTCCCACAATAAACTTTGCCTGATAATGGTGTATGATCTTTTTGATGAATTTGCTGTATTTGGGTTGCTAATATGTTGTGGAGGATTTTAGTGTGTATGTTCACCAGGGTTAGTGGCCTATAATTTTCTTTCTCTGTAGTGTCTTTATCTGGTTTTGGAATTAGGATATCGCTGGCCTCGGAGCCCAGAGTAAATGGCTACAAAGGAACTTTTGTGTGTCAGCCCTTTAAGAGGCTCTCTGAGTCTCCCTCCAGCTGTTTCTCCCTGGCAGACAGAAACCCTGCTGCTTTTCACAGCTGAACGTTCTCTGGGTTCCTTTCAGGCTCTGGTGTGTGGGCCGGGGAGCCCAGTTTGGTGTTTAGACCCCACACGCTTCTTAAAGGGAACCCCCCAACCGTTGAAATATCCCTCCAGAACTTCAGCTGCTGCCCGTTGGAGCCCAGCCACACTCCCTTACTCTTGCGCCTGCTCCACACTCCCTACCAGCCTTATTGTGGTGAAGTGGTTTCTTCTGTCTGTCCGTGGTCATAAGGTTCCTCTCCAGCTAGTGCTCATTTGGTTACTCAGGATGCTTTCTCTATAGTTGTAATTGCAGAATGGCCCTGGGAGGAGGTCAGTGTAGCTTCCATTTATCTCCTCTGCCATCTTAGAGCTCCCCCTAGTTTTCATTACGGTGCCCCCAGTCCCTGTCTGAACTCATGGGCTGCAGCTCATGTATAAGTCATGTCCCCACCTGCTGTGAGTTACTAGTTGTCACTCAGCTATTAAAGGACATCTTGTGTTCTAGGTTTTGTCCATTGTTAATAAAGCTGCTGTATATTTTTATACATTTTTAGAACTGTAATTTTTTTTATGTGGCTGTGTATTTTTCTTACCGGTTGGGTAAATACACTGGGGTATAATTGGCTGCGTCGGATGGCCACGCCCTGCTTAACTTCACAAGAACCTGGCACGATGTCTTCTGAAGAGGGTCCTCCATTTTTATTCCCATCAGCAATGAATGAGATTTTCTGTTGTTTCATATCCTCATTAGTAATTGGTATTGTTAGTTTCTGGTATTTAGCCATTTTGTTTTTTTGAATTTATTATTTTAGAGAGAGGGGACGAGAAGGAGAAAAAGACGGGGAGAACTATCAGTCAGGTTGCCTCTTGTCTGTGCCCCAACTGGGGCCTGAACCCAAAACCCAGGCATGTGCCCTGACGGGGAATCAAACCAGTAACGTTTTGCTTTTTGGAGCGATGCCCAACCGAGCCATGTTGGTCAGGGTGGTATTTAGCCATTTTAATAAATGAGTAGGGTATCTCCCCTGGTGTTTTAAATTATTTTCCCTAATGTATGATGCATAACATTTTCCAGTAATTGCTCAGTGTTGAGCAATTTATACATGCTTATTTACATATTACCTATTAAGGTGTCTACTGATACTGCCATATTTATTTTAATTTGGGGAATGTGTTTTCTTCTTGTGAAGTTTTACTAGTTCTTTGAGTATTTTGCATGTAAACCTTTCTTTGGATCATGAAACTCTTCTAATCTTCGCACTATGATTTTTATATTCTGCATTTCATATTTAAGGCGATGAATGATTTTGAATGAATTGATTCTAAGGTACAATGTGGTGGTGGAGCGCCGGGCTCCTGGATCTGAGGGTCCCTGTCCCGGGGGCCGGTTGAGGTGGGAGCACAGACTCTGATCCTCACAGAGCCCGTCCTGGGGTTGTCACGGAGGGTGGGAATAGACAGGAGTCATCACAGGCAGTTCTCTGTCTGCCAGGAGAGAGGGGGCGTGGCTGTTTCCTCTAGTGGGGAAGGCCCCCCGAGCCTCTGTGCTCAAGGGCTTTTATTGAGAACCCTATGGGCGGGGGTTCTCACCAATCAACGTCAAAAGGCTATGTTTACAGAAAACAGAGATCATAGATAACAATTGAAGGAACGGGAGAGATCTGCCTCAGGTCAAGGTCTATGAATCATGTAAAAATCTTCCTAGTATGAGCCGGTTACCATAGCTTTTGAGGGAAGAACAAAGCAGGCTTCAAGGAACTTACTTCTAGGCCTGATTCTCCACCCCCCCTCCACAAGAAAGTCTTTTGTTCTAGTTTCTGGCTCCACCTTCTGTGGTCTCCACTCCATTTTAATTCTGTAAACCTGTTCTGACGAATTGTCTCAGGGGATGAGAAAAGTGTAATGGGTCACAGTGCTGCTTGTTTGAAAAGGCTCCCAAGGGTGTTGCTCCTTGGTTGCCCCCAACTTTAAGTGGCATTCCCTGTGGGTCCCCTGCACGTTTTAGGAACTAATCCCAGACACTCTTGTGAAAGCCAGCTGGGAACGCCCCTTTTCTTCTTCGGAGTCTCTGTGGCGCTGACTGGAGCACTCATTCCTATCCTGACTACTTAACTACTTACTTGCTGGAGACTTCCTAATTACATTTGAAAGCAGAGGGAGAGGAGGGAAAAGGCCCGGGAAAAAACAGCACTTTTTGCTCCAAGCTAGATTCTTGCTTTCTCATCTCTGAGAACTAAACCTCGGCGGGAGTGTGCGGCCGGGAACTGCCTGCTGCAGTTTGGGGCTGTACCTGCCCTGGGCATTGTTTCAAGCCTGAGCCAGGCAGGCGGGGCAGAGCCGCCAGCAGATGAGACTCCTTTCAGCTAGAATGGGGACTCTGGCCAGATCAAAGCCGGGGTTGAGGGTCTTTCTCCCTTTCTCTGCGACCCCCAAGTTCTTCCCTGATGCCCCTACAGCTGTGCCTTAGGTTGCCCCTTCTATCGAGGGGTCTTACCCATCGTTGACTAACCAGCCATCCTCCAGGGCCAAGCAGGGTGATGTGAGGGAGGCAGGGGCTGCGCCTCTGCCAGGGGGCCAGGTGTCTCCCCAGTGGCCTGTTTGCCCAAGGCCTCCTTGCTCAGCTCCAGCCTTGGGGCCCCTCTCGCCTGTTGGCGGGGCTGCAGTCCCTGAGACTGATGGGGCGTTTCCCAACAGTACAAGGGTGTGTCTTCGCTAATTCATTTCCTTATGGTCATCATTTGTTGGTGATGACTGAAGACTAAAAGACTATCTTTTCTGTGTGGAAGTGCCTTTATTCCTGTGACAAAAGTCAGGTTGTCTCTTTGTATAGGTCTGTTCATGGACTCTCTATTCTGTTCCGTTTGTGTGCCTGTTCATTTTAAAGTATGCTTTTTTGATGGTAGCTTTATAATAAATTGGGAAGTGTGAGTTCATCAACTTGTTTTTTCATCAGAACTGTGTAGATTACTCATTGTTTAGAACTAGTTTGTTGATATCTACAAAATGACTTGCTGAAATTTTTATTGGGATTGTACTGGATCTTTAAACTGGTTTAGGAAGAATTGACATCATAATACTGTTGTGACTTTTGATCACAGACATGGAATACATCTCTTTTTTCTTTCAAGAGTGTTTTATATTTTTCTTTTTATAGTTAAGTTTAATTCATACGGTAATTCTTTTATTTGTTGATGAAACTCTATGCTGTTTCCACAGTCGTTGCACCAATTTACGGTCTACCAACAGTGCACAAGGGTTCCCTTTTCTTTACATTCTAGCACTTGTTATTTCTTGTCTTTCTGATAACAGCCATTCTAACAGGTGTGAGGTGATATCTCATTGGGTTTGATTTGCATTTTCCTTTTGTTGAGTAACTTCGAGCATCTTTGCATACACCTATTGGCCACCTGTATGTTTTCCTTGGAAAAATGTCTTCAGAACTGGCCATTTTTTAATTGAATTGTTTTTGTGTACTTTTTCTTTTTCGCTTTTGGGTTCTTTGTAATTTTCCATGTTAGCTCCTTATCAGATATGTGATTTCCAACTGTTTTTTCCCATTGAGTAGCTTTCCTTTTTATTTTTTTCCTGTGTAGAAGTTTGTAGGTTTGATGTAGTCCCACTTGTTCCACTTCCTTATTTTTGCCTCTGTTGCTTTTGTTTTTGGTGTCAGATTCAAACAGTCATCAGCCAGACCTGTGCAAGCAGCTTGCCACCTGTGTTTTCTCTAGGAATTTTATGATTTCAGGTTCTTACGTTCAAGCTTTTAATCCATTTTGAGTTAATTTTTGTGTAAGGTTGTAAGATGGTGATCCAGTTTCAGTCTTTTGCACGTGGCTGTCAGTTTTCCATTAATTGAAGAGACTGTCCTTTCCCTGTTGTGTATTCTTGGCCCCTTTGCTGTAATCTAATCGACCGTACCTGTGTAGCCTTTAAATGTAATACGCAGTTTGCCAATATTTTGTTGAGGATTTTTGCATCGATGCCCATCAGAGATGTTGGTCTGTATTTCTGGGCCATGTCACTTCTCGCTGGCTGTGAACCTGAGGCCCAGCACCGCCTGCCTTTGCAGTGCACATTCCCTGTGTGAGGAGCCTCGAGCCTCTGTCAGCATCTGGCTTCTGCACGAAATATAGATATTCTTAAATACTGGGCCTAGAATGACTGATGTTTTAGAGTTTTGTTCTTGTATCATTTTCTTTTTAAAATACTTTGTAACCAGCCCTGGCTGGTGTGGCTCAGTGGATTGAGTTCTGGCCTGTGAACTGAAGGGTTGCTGGGTTGCTGGTTCGATCCCCAGTGTAGGGCACATGGCTGGCATGCGAGGTGCAACCCCATATTGATATTTCTCTCCCTCTCTTTCTCCCTCCCCATCTCTAAAATAATAAAACCTTAGAAAGAAAACCTTTAGAATACTTTGTAACCATTCTCACTTTCCTTCCATCATTTTCTGCCTTAGTATTTATTCCTGTCACACCAGGATCCTTTGGATGATGGAGGTGGCCATTTCCTGTTTCGGGGCTTTACAGTCTCAGAGGTGTGCGTATTGTCTTATTCCAGGATGGGTGTGACTGGGCTCGAACTAGAAGTGCCTGGGCATTTAGGCATGTTCGAAGATGAGCGTTCTGGTGGAGCTTGGCCGGGGGGCGTGATCTCCTTGGCCCTGCTGCTTACACACTTCCCCCACTTCCTCCTGCAGCCCCACCCAGAGACCCCTCCCATTCCTGAGGGACGTAGGCGTTTCCTGCCTTTGCTGTTCCTTCTGTGCAGGACGCTCTGGTGCATCCTGGTGCCTTCAAGTGAAGAGAGAACGGCTTCCCAATCAGTTCTCTCTTCCTCAGGGAACTTGAGAGCCCATCTATATTATTAGCCTTCAGTGTTGCCATGTTTATATGCATTCGAAAGGTGAGCTTCCTGAGAGTATGAAGTTCTTGTTTTACATGGGGGTTCAAATGGCACCCCACACACACATCATAAGCATTCGTGTTTCATTAGTGGCAGATTATTTTTTTTTACATTTTTCCAGTGGAAGGTGCTGCCTTTGAAGAGTTTGTTGGAAATACGGCAAAAAAAGCCATTAGGTACAAAATACTCATGTATTTATGAATTCATGACCAAATTAAATATGAAACCTTTTATAAAAAGAGGTGTGTGTGTATTATTCCCCACCCCCCACCCATCCTTGCATTCCCCTCTGGAACAGCTGAGAGACGTGAGTACAGAGCTGCGTATTCTCGCCAGGGGACTTCTCTCTCTCTCACGATGCCTTCAGGCTTGCCCCACGTGGGTGGGTCTCCTGCTCTGTGGATTTCCAAGTGTCAGGTGTATGGGGGACTGCAATTAAGCCCCTCTTCCTTCCCTCCTGGGAGAGGGACCCCAGGCCTCGGCCTCGCCTCCCACAGCCGCCTCAGGTGGTATCTCTGGGTCACACCTGGGCTTCCTTTTCCCTGCCTGGGGCAGCCCAGCTCTGACTGGGCGGTGGGCCCAGATTGCTGGGGTGGATCTGTAGCCCTCCCCCGTGGGACACCTGCAATCCCTGCCCCCGCCCCTTCCCCCCTCCCCCACCCCCAGTGGCCTTTCTGCACCCTCGTCAGGGGGCCAGATGGCTCAGCCCTGCAAGCTCATGAACACCCCTTCCCTGCCCCGTGGGCTCTCCCTCTCACCTACAGTCCCTGGGAGACCCTGTGGTTCCTGCCGTTTCCTTCCCCGGAGGAAAGGTGCTGGGCGCAGAGCTGTTCCCACCCTGCACTGCAACCACTGCCCCCCAGCCTTCCCCGAGGCCGCAGACTGCAAGCTCAACTCGGGGAGGCTGGCGGCCAGCAGAGGGCAGCACTCGCCGGGGGCACCCACGAACCACCCTGGAGGACGTGGAGGGGATGCAACGTGGCCTTGGAGAAGTCGGGCTCAGAAAGAATGGGCCCCGGCCACTGCAGGCCTGCTTGCCCTGCCACCTCCTGCTTCTAATTTTGACATGGGCTTACCCTCAGATCTCTGCCTCTTGGCCCCGCTGACGTGTTACAGGTGCCCTTGGTTTCTGGGTTTGCGCTCTCCCGGTCATGAAGCCTGACTCTTGGTGGTGGGACCCATGCCGGGCCCTTGAGACCACAGCCAGTCCCTCCTCCTCAGGCCAGGCGACTCTCTGGCCATGGGAGTAAAACGGCATCAGGAGCAGCAACGGGGGGCAGGGTCTGTTGCGGCCCAACTTCCCCTGCAGGGCTGCAGGCTGCCGTCTCCATCCTCCCGCCCCATCCCTCTCCTCCCAGTGGACTGCGGGGCTGCTGCTGCTCAGGTCTCCCTTTTCTTCCAAACCATCACCACCTAAGGTCCTGTCCTGCGATCTTTCTACACAGAGATTCCTAGTCCCAAGCCAGTGACCTTACTGACCTTTGGCCCCTACCCCAACTCTTCCTCCCAAACATTCCCACCCTGTGGGGGGCCACCTCGGAAGCGGGGCAGGATACCCGGGTTCTCACAACGCGCAGCAGGAGCCATCTCATGCCATGTGTGAGGGAACCCCAGGGCCTCGCCTTCCCTCCTCTGCCCCAGCCCTGAAGCCTCAGTCCCTGTGGCCGAAGGCGTGGGACTTGGGCTGCCCCCCCAGAACCTGCCTCAGGCCAGGGCGTCCCCAGTCACCACAGGTGACCGAGCACTTTCCTGAAAGGCACTGGAATCAATTCTATGATCTAAACCTTTTTCTCCTCCACGTGGGGGCCCCTTTGGGGTTCGATACAAATGTGAGCTATACAGGGAACAGGGTCTTTGTGTGTTCTTTCTTCTTTGAGGGGATAGAGGCTAGAGTGTTCCTGTTGGTGATTTGTTTGTTGCTTTTTTTCTCTTTGCTAGTTTGGCCCCGCACCATAATAAGCAGCCATGCTAACTAGAGGCGGGAGCAGAGCCCGGAGGAGCCCAGGATTGCTGCACTGGGCCTGTGGCCCGTGCCTTCCCTCCCCGTCCCAGCCGTCTCCTCCGGCTCCCACCTGAGTGGGGCAGGGGAGCAAGAAGTTTCTTGCGGCACCAGCAGGCCCTGCTCCTGGGCTGGGAGCTCTGAACACGTTCCGCCAGCTCCGCCAGGCCTGCGCCGACGGCTCCAGCAGGCAGAGTGCAAGCCTCTGCTAGGCTCTGCAGGAGCAGCGTCCACCCTGACTTCTCCAGTGAGGATCTGAGCAGCCTCCTGTGGTCGAGCCCACTAAACATGTGCAACCCTCCAGCCCCCTGGTGGGAAATCATGGCCTCCAGGGGCAGAACCCTCCCTGCACACCGCTGCTCCCTGGGAGGGGCTGCCTCCGCAGGCCCCGGCTGGCGTTGGCCCTCTGACTCCAGGGCTCTCCAGGGACAAGATGCCAGTGCCCTCAGCTCTTCCCTGCTCCCACCTCCCAGGAGCTGCCCCTTGCCCTGCTTCAGAACTGGGCACCTCTGCAGGGGTCCCTGGTCTGATCCACAAGGCCCTGCCCCTCTCTTGCCAAGCCCTGTTGGCTGGTGAGAGCAGCTCCGCCCTCCGGGTCCTGGTTGGGTGGGTCCCCTTGTCCCTGGAAGGTGGAGGGGGCGATGCAGAGAGCAGAGGGGTGAGGGCAGGTGGGCACAACAGCAGCAGGGTCAGAAGAGGGTGGCAGCATCTCAGACCACAGCCGAGGAGGAAGATGGGGACGACGAGGAGGCCGCAGAAGAGGACGGTGAGGAGGGACTGTTCCAGAACAGCCACCGCCGCTTGGGCTGCCGTTTCAGGTGGAGATAGTCCTCCTTCTCACGCTCCTTGCGGGCCCGCTGGTAGTGATCTTCCTCTTTCAGGTACCACACGGGCGGCCACCGATGCTTCTCAAAATACTCCTGGTTTTCTGGAGCAGAATGCGTGGGGCGTGGTGAGAAGGCAGGAGGGAGAAGGGGCGAGAGGAGCCCTGGGGCATACATGGCACCCAGGGACGCCCTCCCCGACCCCACGCCTCAGGCCTCCTGTCAGCGAGGAACACATCCCAGCCCCTGGGGCCACAGAGCTAAACCTGTGCCTTCACAGCACCCCCACTTGGCCACAGAGCTCCCTACAGAAAGTCCCACGGGAAGGTCTCAATGGGAGATGAAGAACCAGGGCAGGAGCAGGTGCACGTGGCTGGGGTGGGGCGGTCCCTGCCAGAGCTGAGGTTCTGAGTGCACGGGGACCCGGGACTGCAGGAGGGCTGGACCGGAGAGGGCTAGGCTGGAGGGTCTGGGCTGATCCGGAAAGGCGGGGGCGGGTCGCGGGAGGTTTGGAACCCGGGGAGTGATGTGACCGGAGCTGTGCTTTATAAAAAACACTAGAAGGTTAACAAGGAGGGAACGGGGTGAAGGAATGGGTAGAACGCAGCAACAACAGGGTGGCGGGGCGCGGGGGGGGGCGGGGGTCTCAGCAGAGGGGAGGGTGCCCAGTGACGACTTCAAGGAAGCAGAGTGGCAGGGACTCCAGGAGGCCAGGGACGCCTGTCCCTGGTGCCCTTGAGCTCCTGCTGGGCCCTGGGACCTGAGACATTAATCAAACAGAGGCAGGGCCCCAGGGACGTCAGAGGCTGCCAGGATCTGGGTGTCCAGGCTGTGGCTTGTGCTTGGGCCGAGGTCATGAAACAGTGCAGCAGGTCATGAGCAGCATTAAAAACAATTTATGTGTTTTTCTGTACGGGTCCTGGGTCACAATATAAAATTGTAGTTCTTACTGTGGAGTTCTGTCCAAAAAGTCTGAAAAAATACCCATAGTCCAACGCCCTCTTTATCCCTGGGAGAGCCCAGCTCAGAGAGGCGGAGGGAGTTGCCACGGGTCCCCCGCTCCCCTGCCCCCCCCCCCCCCCCCCCGGCCAGCACTTTGCCTGGGCCCCTCTGCTTGGCTGGATGCACCTCTACGCTACTTCCCACCTGCGAGGCCCAGTTAACCCAAGGATCTTTGGTGGCTTCTGGCTGCCCTGGGGTCAGACTGGAGACGTGGACCCAAGTGGAGGCCCCGTCAGCGTGAAGAAGGGGGTCAGCAGGTCCTGTCAGGATGCTCACCTGGGGACATGGCCTTCATATCTCGCGGGAACTTGCGGCACACGTTGTTGTAGTTGGTGCAGATGTGGTGGAGACACCAGTCTGCCAATTGGTACGCGCAGTGGAACTGCGGGGACAGACAGCGGGGTCACACGGGGGCCGCAGCTGCGGTCGGAGCTGAAGCTCCACAGGACTGGCTCTTGGCACCGTCGGCGCCCCCACCTCGCCTGTCCTGTGCCAACATCCGAGGGAGCCCCCGGGCCTACGTGCTGGCTTCCTTCAGTCTACCCTCCTCAGACCTCACCGCAGCGGATGTTCCTGTCCTCCCCTCAGGGGCCAACGCAGTGGGCTCGCGCGGCTGAGTGGGCTCCGAGCGGACTTTCCCGGGGTGTCTGCAGGGCTCGAACCCGCCACCCGTTATCTCCCTAAGCTAATCTTGAAGGGCAGAACTTCTGACACCCTCAGGGCCGGTGTGGGAGATTTTGCTAGTGTGTATGGTAATCAAGAGGTGGGCCATTAATTTTGGATGGGGAGTCCTCAGTGTTCCTTAAATGACCTCAGGCAGGCAGCAGCCCCGTCTACCCAGAGGACTGGGGCTGGCTCCCTGCCCTAGGGTTGCCTGATGTCTCAGTCCCCCCCGCCCCCACTCCCCTCAGCCAGCCTCTCCTCCGGGCGTGTCAGGGTGCACCCTCTGGCCTGGGGGCTGACAGGGACTCTGCACAGTCAGGCATCTGAGTCTGACGTGGGTCTCCTCCCCCTCCACGGCCAGTGGGCAGACAGAGCCCAGGGTTGAGACTGGCGGAGGGGTTCCTGCCCGTGCCATCCTACCTGAGCCAGTTCCAGGAACACAAGGACGTCCCCATCGATGTCCACCATCATCTGCGTTGCCTCCATCAGCCCGGTCACTGTGTACTGCTCTGTGACACACACAGCCAGGAATCAGCGGAAGAACTATGCACACAGACACGTGCTCACCGCCACCCCCCCGCCCCCACAGGGTCCTACTGCAGGGCAGAGAGAGACCGAGGCCAAGGGCAAGTCCCAACAGGCCCAGGAAAGGCCACGGGCGACTTAAGTCTGCTCCCACCAGCTAGGAACCGGGCAGGGGGGCAAGGCGCCCCCGTGGCGTAGGGTGGGAAGTGAAGAACATCAGTATCATCTGGGAGGATGTTTTCAAGCTACACATGCTGGACCCCAGAGTCTGAGACACACAGGAAGGAAGCCCCCAGTGCAGTCAGCCACGGAAACTGCCAGGAGAGGGTACGAAGTCTCAGGTGTGCTAACTACGACCTGGAAGGACGGATGAAACCAAGTTGTTTGTATTAATTTAAACTTACAACAAATTGCGTACTAATGTTGCATTTTAAGTTAAAGTGTTTATATTGTGAATACACAGTTTTCATCCTGAATATTAACAGTATCGGTTATAAACTCCTGAGGTGTTTTATATGTAAAAACATAAACATATTTCCCAGCTCAGTCCATGGAAAAGATCTCGCCAGAGCAGCCATCGCAGTAGCAAGGCGCACCCCTGGCGCGCAGACAGGAGCTGGAGACGCTGCCCCAGGGGCCCGAGGCCAGGGCTCCACAGAGAGACAGCTGAGTCCAGGTCGGGGGCAGGGGACGGACAAGATGAACCTGGAGCCCCTGTCATTCCACAGAACCAGGAGCACAGAGAGAGCCTGGAGCCAACCTGAAGAGACTTCTACTGGTTAAAGGTTCAGTAAGTATCTGAGCTTCGATAAGGATAATTACAAATATCTGAAACGGGTCGAGTTCAGATCTAAGGGTTCATAAGAATATTTAAAAAAAAAAAACAACCCCAACTAGTTCTTCACCCTCAAATGATGATAGGAAACAGATATATCTTGAAATCTGGTAAATAAAAGGAAAAACTCAAGCATTTGCCTGTCTTTCCTATATGAATTACGCCACTGATTAACCAAACAGTAGGTGAGGGGAGGTTTTTCTCTTTTTAGAAGTATTCCAACAGATAAGCACAGAAGGAATGATTGAATAGGAGTATTATCATTTCACAACACCTAATACATTAATGGATCCAGGCAATGCTACTCAATGGCTGATAACATCACAAAAAGAAAAGCAATCTATTTTTTTTTTTTTAAGATTTTATTCATTTATTTTTAGAGAGAGGGGAACGGAGGCAGATGAGAGAAACATCAATGTGTGGTTGCCTCTTCAGCGCCCCCTACAAGGGACCTGGCCCGCAACCCAGGCAGGTGCCCTTTACGGGGAATTGAACTAGTGACCCTTTGGTTCACAGGCCAGCACTCAGTCCACTGAGCCACACCAGCCAGGGCCAATCTATGCTTCTTGATGAAAACAAAAACAACCTATGAAGAAGTATCACCAAAAAAAAAAAATTGACTGTGAATGTGATCTAGCCTCCATATCCAACAACCAGTTTACAGGAAATATGGTGCGTTACAGAAATACAATAAGCTAAAATCTAGATTTTCTACAATAGATCAGTGGGTTTTTTCCAACAAATAATTGCAAGGGAAAAAAATGTTTTAATGAACAAGGTGCCCTTAGATGAAAAGAACCTTAAAAGCTATATAACAAATAGCCCTGGCCAGTGTGGCTCAGTTGGCTGGCCACTGTCCCACAAAGCGAAAGGCTGCCGGTTCGATTCCCAGTCTGGGCACGTGCCTCGGCTGCGGGTCTGGCCCCCTGCCCGGGCATGCAGGAGAGGCAACTGGCCGATATTTCTCTCCCTTCTCCCTCCCTTCCCCTCTCTCTCTCTAAAAATAAATAAATTATTAAAAGAAAAAAGGTATATTAAAGATAAAACCAAGCTATAGTGTTTAAGAGCAAGGAAGTGAGGTCATAGTAAGTACGCCTCAAAAGAGTAAGAGGCAGAGTGGGACCTCCCGGGGCAGAGGGAAGCCTGTGACTGGGAGTGGTGGGTGGGGGGCTCCTGGTGTGGCCGGAAGGTTCTAGCTCCTAATATGGATCATTTTTATAATAATTCATTAGGCAGAACACATGTGCATTTGTGTTATATTTAACAAAGAAGTTTTAAACTTGACTTTTTAACTTCAGAGAAAGCGTATCTCACAAAGCATAAAGCACACCAACTACAGCATATGCAGTGTGTTCTCTGCTGGTCCCTGACGAGGTATGTGCAACACGTTTTTGCACACGTTCTCTGGGGAGCATAGGCCATTTCATGGGAAAAGTGACCCAACGATATTTTCTATGAGTCTTTTCGTGCATCAGGGCCATTTAACATTTTTAGTGGCAACCTCGTGAAAATTACCCACATGTGCTTAACCAGCGGTGGCTGTTGGACTTGCCACTGATTGCCTGCCTGCTGAAACAGACTTATTAAAAAGTTTTTTTTTTCCTCTGAGTCATTGCCAAAGTTGAATTACTTGGTCCAAGAGTTTGTGGGGCTTTATGTGCTCAGGGAAGACACGTGCCTCTCACGGGCAGCAGGGATGACACGCTGCCATGGCCGTGACCTGCAGAAGCCTCTCTCCTGCCCCTGCCCTCACGCCCCCTGTGCCCCCAGCTGGGGCCCCTGGACGCCCTCTGCGGGCTCAGCCCTTAATGTTCGGTTCTGATCCCTGATTTCTGCCTTCCTCCTACGGCCAAGCTCCACCTCGTAACCATCTCTCATCACAAGACTGATGTTTCCCTCGTAGCCGAGACCCAAGCGTGATCACCTGCCCAAGGGCCCAGCGGTTCTGACACGGAACCTCAGCCCAATATCACAGGCTCTGCCCTCTGCCCGCCGCAACCTGCCCAAGGGCACGACCCTGATACCAACACCAGTGCAGGTGCCAGTGCCAGCGCCAGCGCAGATCCCATTCCAGCCTCAGCAGCCGTCTGCCTGCCTGCATCAGCCCCGGGGGCCCGAGCGGCCTGCCTTCCCTCCTGTTTCCATCTCTGCGTGCCCAAGGGCCCCTAAGGCTGGCCTGCTCTCAAAGTGAGTGCCAGCTCTCAGTCTCTTCAAGGAATGAGGAGTGGCAGGTCAGTGTTCACTGCCTGTTTCTGGAAGAAGAAAGAGAAAATGAAGGTGGGAGAGGAGGAGGAGGAGGAAGAGAACAGGGAGAAGGAGGAAAAGGAAAGCAACACAGAACAATGAATAAAGCAGATTTACGTGTCAAAACAAAACAAAAAGGGGAAGGGAGAAGGAGGAGGAGGAGAGGACCAAAGGGCAGACGTGGGAGTTGCATTCTGTTCTTTCTGATTCCTTAAGTGACTTGCCTGAAAGAAGAAGCCACACTCACAGGGATACCAGGCACTATGATCTACCGGAGGCCACTTTGCTGGGCCCAAAATCACCTTTGGAGACGGCCTACCGGTGACTCCACTGAGCATCTTTCTCCCACACACTCCCTCTCCTCTGTGTCCTCACCCAGCCGCCAATACGCAGCCACATGATGCTTCACCTTACGTAGGCGGGTCCCTTGGTGCCGGCGGTGAGCACAGAAGCCACCTCTCCTGGGCGCTCCCCCAGGGAGTGACTTCTCCCTCAGGGAGGTCTGGGCACTCGGGTGAGTTACCTGTGAGGGCAACCAAGTGCGGCAGGCAGAGGCGGTTGGCCAGGATGATGAGCTTCATGTCGTCCAGGTCGGGGCTGGAGGTGAACATGCCCGTGTACAGGTACTCCAGCACGGCCCGCATGCAGCTCTTGCTCGTGTGAGGGAACACCACCTGCAGGGCACAGCAGCCCGCGGTGAGGCCCGCCCTGGGGGAGGGTCGCTCAGCTCTGAGAAGCTCGGAAGGCCCGCAAGGCCCGCAAGGCCCACATGGCTGGTCCCCCCAACCCCGAACAGGCAGCCACCCCTGTGTTGCCCCTGTACCTGTTGAGGAAAGTCCCCCAAAGGCCCGTCTCCCAGAGCGACAACCTGTGCTAAGCCCATCAGATGGCAGCACCGGTGAGCAGGGCTCTGAAAGCTTTTAAAAAGCCCTCGGTTCTCACTGGCATCCTTCCAAAGCCGGTGGGTAGGGACGGTGCTTGACGAAGCCCTTCGGGTCACAGAACCTACACCCTGGCCCCTCCCGGCCCTGCAGGGAGTGGGCTACAGAATGAGCAAGCCGACACAGCAGGCTTCTGGAAGTTGCTACGAGGGGCCTTGGGGACCTCCTCAGAGCAGCGCTGCTACAAAGCTGCTTTCTCATTAGCCACAAGTCTCAGGCTGCGCTGGGAACCGGCCAGCGCACTGAGCTGCTTCTGCGGTGCCGCAAAGGGCTCCGGGCTGGCCGGCCCCTGGGGCTTCGCAGGGTCCCTGGCTCCCCCTTAGCGTATCCCAGTCCCCTCCGGCTTCGAGGATCAAAGACAAACCCAAATCTCAACCCTCCATGTAGCCTTTCTTCCGTAAGGGCTTTCTTCCCAGAAATCCTAGGATGTCCCTACTCTGTGACACAGGGACTGGGCTGCATTGTCCCTAGTCCGGTCTTCCATTCAGCACTCACTGAGGACCAGCCCTGGCAGAGAGGGTGCTTGGCAGCAGTAAAGACCTAGTCCCCGCACGCAAGACACCACAGGCCAGCTGGGAAAACCGCGTGTGGATGCTCAGCACTTCAAGCAGCTGCACAAAGCAGAACCCTGGTAACGGCAAGGCTGAGTGGCGGGGAATTAGTGCTACAGCAGTTCAGGGAGCACGGAGCACACCCGGGGCCTGGTGAGGCCCCTCTGCTTCGCTGAAGGGAGTGTTTCTAAGGATACAGTGAGTGGCCCCTTCCAACTCTGCTGCCACTCTCTGTGCCTCGAGGGGGCTGCCAGTGAAGGGGAGGGTGACCACACAAAGCATTTCTTTGCATTTTCTGTATTTTGATGCTTTGACCTCTGTTGGCTTGCTGACCCTGGAGGGTCTTCCCCTCCCAGGACTAGCCAACTGCTCGAGACAGTAAAGGGACCCTGAGGATGCACCTGTGGTCCGCAAACCAGCCAGTCCAGAATCCCCACCTCTGCCCCCTCCTTCACCGCTACCCCCCTGCCCCAATCACCCCAGGCACCCGGTGACTACGGATGGTGCCTACTCCCCAGAGCCCGCTGAACTCACTCCAACCAGCCAGTCTGAAACATCACCCTGCCCTGCCCTCCCCTTCCTTCCCAAGGAACCACAGTAAAGGCCACCACAACAAAGGGTGACCACGGCTCCCCCTGCACCCCGTCTCCTGACGCACCCTGGCGCCTCCGCCTGCGCTCCCCCCACCTCGCTGTGCGTGCCCTCGCTGATTACATCTGGGGGTGTAACAATGGCAATCTTCAACGGCAATTTCCTCCTGATCTGCTGTCATGCTCCCCATGCCTCAGTGACGGGTTCGGCCTGGGACACACTGAAATAATTTTCTAGTTTCGCGTGTGTCATGGAGAAAGCAAGGTACGACGTATAGAGCCAAGGAATCAGAGGTCTCAAGTTCAAGTCCCAGCCTCTCCGTCCTACATATACAGCTCTGCACGAGTCGGTACCTCTTCGGGGCCTCCCTTCCCTCGTGCATGAGCGTGCGTGAAGTGGGAACGCTGAGCCTTGTGCAGGAGTCAAGTGTGAGATGACAGCAGATAATGTACTGAAAGTGCTTTCTAAGCTGCGGGCTTAAGATGCCTCTCCCTGCCCACCTTCTCCACCAGCAACGTGACATTGCTTTGCCCTCTTGAATGTCCAGGCCCATCAAGCCCAAAGATTCCCAGCCCCGGTGCCCTGTACAACCCTCGGCCATGGGAACCGTCTCATAAACTTCCCCGAGGCCCATCAGCCTCCGTGTAGCACCCAGTAAGCGCTGAAGAAAGCACCAGGAAATGACACGCCTCAGATGCTGTGAGTGCAAGTCTCTCCCCCCGCACCGCCGCCTTACCTCCCTGGTGGAACTCTCCACAAACGGCCCCCCAAACATGGCGGCCATCCAGTCGCAGCTGGAAATCAACAGGGGCTTGTGGGCACTGATGGTGCCGTCATCCAGGATGAAGGTCACATCTGTCCAGGAGGAGACGAGGCATCACATGAGGATGTGGTGAAAGGAGACGGGGCCACCCACCCTAAGTGTCAACAGTCACCCAGACAGCACGCTGCTTTCAGAGGCCACCAGCTGGGGAGCGCACTGTGACACACGCTCGGGCTCCAGGCACAGCCAACATATCTCCAGGACACCAGCAGCTGCATGCGAATCGGACCAACCCAGACTCCTCCGGAGGCCACCGGAAGGGCACAGCCCTGCCTCCCCGCTGAGTCCCTAACTACGCACACTGCCTACCTGAGAAGGTGCCCTTTGCCAAGCACTCCTTCACCCGGTTGGTGCGGCGGACGTGGAAGGCCTTGGTGATCTCCTGGTTCATGAAGGCCTCGTTGTTGAGGATGTTGGCCACCATCATGCGGAGGTCGAAGACCTCGAGCAGCTCTGCGATGTGGGCGATGTGCATGAGGTCCCGCTCCTTCTCGTCCAGCTCTCCAGTGTACAGGTACTTGAGGACGGCCCGGAAGGGCCCCGGCTGGATGGAACTGTCCATTTTTACCACCACCATCAGTCTGGATTTGTAGGTCAGCGGATCTTCTGCCATCTCCTCCTGGATGCTAACGAAAGCTCGGCTCCAGGAAGACAGCACGCGGCCCCTCCCTGGCAGGTACCCGGTGCCGTTGCCCCGTAAGATACCGTCACTGGTTGAGGCCCGGAGCCCGGCGGGGCCGGAGCCCCCACCGTCCTCCACGCTCTCGCACACGTCAAAGCTGGCGGCGCGAAGCAGGAAGTCCCGGCCGTGGTGGTGGTGGTGGTGGTGGTGGTGGTGATCAGGGTGAGACCGGTGGTCCTCTGAGCGGGGGCCCCCTGGCCCCGAGGGGCCCCCCAGCTCCCCCTCACTCAGGTCCATGAGGAACAGGTCGTAGAACTTGGAGGAGGAGGTGGAGAGGTAGATCTTGTGGGCAAAGATGCGCACCCGCTCCTGCAGCACCAGGATGACATCCGCGCACAGCGGGTCCTCCAGGAGGTGGGCGGGGCACTCCTCACTGCTGGAGGGGGGGTCGGGCACCACGATGATGGGCGGAGGGGGCTTGGGGGGCAGGAAGGGCGCCTGCAGCAGAGGCCGCTGCACGTTGCGGAGGTGGGACTTCCAGAACTGCAGGTGGCGGCGGGAGATGAGGGCCGCGCGGATGGCGTTGTCGAAGACATCCTTAATGCCGAACTGGGCCACCACGCTGGTCTCGTAGTAGGGGGTGCCCAGCTCCTTGGCCACCTCCCGGCCCTTCTCCGGGGGAAGGATCTCGTTGGGCTTGATGGGCCTGGACATTCAAGAGGGCAAAGCGACGTCACGTTGCTGGCGGAGACGGCGGGCAGGGAGAGGCACTTCGCCACGGCCAGCCTGTCCTTCACCAGGCCGGCGGGTAGTGGGTTTATGTCCCAGGCCCCACGCCCACCCCTCTCAATTCCAGTGAATCTCTGCCCTTTCTCCTTTGTCTGACCAAATCCTACCAGTCCTCAAGGTCTACCTCCAATCCCCTCTTCTTCCAGGAAGCCCTCTGTGTCTGTCAGGCCCTGGCGATTTCACCGCTCAAAGCGGTGTTAGCACGAACTAGCTCTCTGGCAGTCAGCACGCACTTTTCCACACCGGTTGTTAACGTGTTCTGCTATGATTTCCCAGCAAGACTATAAACCCCTTCCACGCAAAGACTGCCTCTCTCCTCCCCTCCTCATGCTGCTTAGTCCCGCATTGCCTATACAGTGCATGACAGATGAATGAACGGAAAGATGAACGGATAAGATGGGCGATGTGAATAAAAGACCGAACACTCTTGTTGATTCCCTATGTGGACTTGCTTCAAACGGAGGGAGAGGTGTAAGACTAGGGGGATTCCCTCAGGGCTGAGCAAGGAGCCACAGAGACACATACCCCTCTGCCTGCCTTCCCCCTTGCCCCTTCCTAGGCATCAGCTTCGCTACCTGGCCAAGGGTCGCCTGGCCCTATTGACAGCCTCCAGGTCGGCGTAGCGCAGGTCCAGCTGGCAGCCCACCAGGATGACGGGTGCTCGGGGGCAGAAGTGCTTGATCTCTGGGTACCACATGGTCTTGACGTGGTGGAGCGAATTAGGGTTGGCGATGGAGAAGCACAGGACCACCACATCGGACCTGGGGTGGGACAGCAAGGTTAGGCGCAGAGAGAGCTGGCAGTGGGTGACTTGCCCCTGGAACGAGGGAGAACGGGCGTACCCACCCCACCCGTACACGCAAGTCCCACCTCTGTCACATGATCTGCTTTCACGACCTTACCCAAAATCTGTAAGAACAGCACCTCTACCTTGTATACCTCTAATTTAGCGTTTAGAGCTTCCGAAGACTCTCGTTTTGACCTCGTGCCTGTGCTGTTAGAAACTACCATTTTTACTACCCTGGGGCTGAGAAAAATCATCTTGGAACAGTTCTAATCGTCCAAAGTCATGGAGCTGGTCGGCAGCAAGGCCAGGACTGCAACCGGGCCTCCTGCCTCCAAGCCCGCCCGCTCCTCTCGCTTCCCAGCTCCCTGGGGGCGGGAGGGAGGCGGTGGGCCTGGGGACCGCTGGTCCTGCCTGCTCCACTCCCTCCTGCCCGTCGGACTGTCCCGGGGGCGCTCTGTTCCTGGGAAAAGCAGTGAAAACCCACGCCTTGGCTCCCTTCAGGCACCAGAGGCTTCCCTACCTCCCATAAGCAAAGCGACGGTCTTTGTGGTGGTCTCCAAAGGTGTCCCAGAGGCGCAGGGAAACGCTGACATCATCTACCACATCCCGGGAGCGTTCTAGCACCTGTGGGGGCCAGGAAAGTGCGATGGGACACAAAGGCCGGAGTCCCTGGGGCCCCTGTGTGTTGGCTCAGGGTGGCACCAGCTCACCCCCGAGGGACCCGGGCAGCCCGGGGGGTGGGGGGGCCGAGTTAGCACAAGCCTTCTGTCCAGGTGCCTTCGCTCTAGATTCAGTAAAAAGGGCATCCTCCCAGCTGGTCAGCAGGAAGGAGACTCTAAGAGGGCAGCCAGGCACGGGCGTGGAAGGATCCCTCAGGGAGCCTGCCCTTTTTTCCAGCTTTACCTGCAAATCACCCGTTCACCAGCCTCCAACCTTCTGGTATCTGCCGGCAGATTCTTTCCTTCTCTCAGCTCTCATCTCTCCAAATCCCCAACCCCACTGGCTAGTGCTCCCCGTTACTGGGGCTGTGAAGGCACAAGACACTGTGCCCCAGGCAACAGGTCAGCCGTGCAAAACACAAACGGTGCAAGACCCCTGTCCCGGGGGCAGGCTCCCCTGAGCCCTCTCTCCGGGCTCCTTCCTCTGCAGCTGCCCCACCCTACCCCCGGAGGGCTTCTGTGAGCTCAGCACGGGCCTGCGTAGGAAACACTAAGCAATGGCTTGGGAAGAAGCCCAGAGGCACGGTGTGGACCCCTGCCCAGCGGCCTTGCCACCTTACCTCCTGGCACACCCGATACTGGTCGATGGCCCAAACCGTGGGCACATGGGTGGCAAGCAGCTGGTACTGGGTGAGGGTGGCATTGCAGGCCCGGGCACAGATGAGCCTGGTCTTGCCCACGGCGTTGTCCCCCACCACAACGCACTTGATGGTCTCTACGTTTGGCCTTTCATAATCCATGTCAGAATCCATTAATTGGGACCTGAGAGAGGAGAGAGAGGGTCAAGACGGCCTGCACACCAGCTCCCGGAGGGCCAGGGCCAGGGCCAGGGCCAGGGCTCGCCTTGGCTGGGACCACCCCCACTTCCAGCATTCGAGCTTGGGGAGGAGAGGGGACTGGGCAGCCTTCTGGGTGGCAGCTCTGCAGGGGCCCGAGGAGCCGGGAGCCCAGTCAGGCTGCGAGGAGCCGTTCCCCCGGATGGACCACTTGTCTCCTTCTGGCTCCACTGCGCTTCTGGACGGAGGGGCCGGGGCCTGTGACAGGACCGAGGCCCAGGACAGAACCGCAGGCGGGGCGAGCCGCAGGGGCCTGTCCCCTCTCCCCCAGGGAGGGGAGCGTCTGCCCGGGGAAGCTCACTCATCATCCGCGCTCCTCCCGCCAGCAGGGCTGTGGCAGCAGAACAAACAGCTGAGAGAAGCAGAGTCAGGGCCAGGTCCCCACCCCTTCCCAGCATGCCCGAGGGCAGGGCCACTTTAAAATTTAATGGACTTGTCGAGCTAGGAAGCAGCTCTCCTGGCCTCCACCTTCACCTCTCTCCATCTCTAGGGGTGGATTTCTAAGGCACCAGCCCCCCTTATGGAGACGCCAGAGTTTTCGTCCCAACTTCTCTGGGTGGGGAGGCTCCTGGATGCACCTGGGCAGCCCACGGGCCTCCCTCGGCTGCAGGACCAGGCTGGGATGGAGGGCCCCGCCACCCCCACCCAGGCCTGCCCTCCCAGCGTCCTGCGGCCGCTTCAGCGCCAGCGAGCTGCACCCCTTCTGCGCCCGCCATTCCCAGGGAGGAGGCCTCTCCAGCTGGCAGCCCCCGGACACCTCCTAGAAGGACACTCCCTAAACTGAATGCGAGGGGAATGGGGTTGCGGGGGGCAGGGAGCAAGGGGCCAGAAACAGGCCTGTGTTTCTGGGCAAATGCTTGCCTCAGTTTCCTTCTGTGTTGGGCAGAGAAGAAATGGTTTGCCTACCCTTGGAGAGGGATCGCTCAAATGAACAGAAGGACCTACTGTAATCAAGATGTCATGTCAGTGTTTAAAAAGCGGTCACTGGGAGGGGCCCTTGGCTTATGGGGGCTTTCGCTCGCAGCCCTCCTGCTGGCGTCCACCCTCTCGGAAGCTGGGCCAAGGCAGGAGTTACTGGGAGGCATTATCAGACCTCTGTCCAGCCAGGGTCATTGGCTGGCCCCTGCTCATGGCGCTGTGTGTATGAAGCCCACTGGGGGCTGGAGCAACCTGGAGAAATCCTTCCTAGGCCAAGGCAGGCGGAGCTCAGAGAAGTCCTGGAGGCTGCCCAGGTGTCCTCACTGCTGGACCATCCAGCCCGCGAGCCAGGCCACCAGCAGCAACAGCAGCTCCATTCCTGCCGGGCTGTAACTGGATGCCAGCATGCAGGAATGCGGAGCTGAAATATCCAAGTAACGATGGCAACTGGGATTTGCGCAAGTGGATGCATCTCAGCAACCTAAGCAAAAAGTGCAGCAAGGACTTCTCAATGAGACAAGTGCCGCCTCCTTCTTGGAATTTTACAGGATCTGGACCTCGAACAAACAGGGGTCTCCATGCAGTTCCCTTCCCAGTTTCCAGGGTAACTGCATCACTCCTCTCCTTCCTCCACCCCTCCTCTCTCCCCAGCGGGCAACCTTAATTCTAAAACCCAGGAGCCAATAGAACTTCTTTCTCAAATTTAGATGCTAGTGGCAGGCAGAAGGGAGGTCACAGGGAGGCATGGGGAAGGAGCATCAGTTCTTAGGTCCAGGGGCACCTTGATGGCAGAGAGGGTACCAGAGCAGCAGAGCAGTGCTGGTCCAAGGTCAGCAAGTTTGTGATTAAAATGCTCACGCACAAGAGCATAAGCAAGGTGATGAGGTTTCATAGGTGGCGCTGATGCTATGGCCACCAGCAAGCCTCCCAGCAGATCATGTTCCTGCTTTTTGTCCAAACTTTATATCAACCCCCTTGAGACTCGGTTTCCCCTTTCAAACCACCATGACCATAAAGATCCTCACCATTTGTGATGGAAAGGTGGTGTACTCTTCAAAGACTATGGAACTGAGAGTCAGAAGCCCTTGAGTTTAATTGCCTTTTGTGCCCTGGCTGGTGTGGCTCAGTGGACTGAGCACCAACCTGAAAACTGAAAGGTCACCGGTTCGATTCCCAGTCAGGGCACATGCCTGGGCTGCAGGCCAGGTCCCCAGTTGGGGGCATGCAAGAGGCAACTGGCAACCCATCAATGTTTCTCTCACACAACAATATTTCTCTCCCTCTCTGTCTCCCTCCCTTCCCCTCTCTCTAAAAATAAGTAAATAAAATCTTAAGTTAAAAAAAAAATGCCTTGTGCATCCTTATGGTTAAGTAGGAGAGCGACACACACTGTGAGTTCAGACACCAGACCCGGGTGCTGCTCAGACTGGACGGCCCCCCCATCCCCCCATTTCCATCATCCTTCCCCTCTCCACCCCTGTCCCAACGGCCTGACTGGTAAACTTCGCTGTTGTATCTAGGAAAGGACAAACCACCTCACTTCTCTGGGTGTCAGTCTGGCCTTCTGGAAAATGGGTATGAGGGCTTTGAAAGAAAGTCTCCTGAGTCTCGGGGAATTCGTGCCAGGAGAGGCTGGGCTGAAAGGAGGTCCTTGTCTTCTTACGTAATGTGGGATTATATAATGCTAGATTACATATCTATATGTGTAATTATACCACGCGTTAAGATACAGCCTGGCCCAATTAAGCCAGCAGAACTCTGAGTCTCATCAGCTCTGTCTCAAGCAAAGACACTACCGGAGATAGCGTGCCAACCCAACAATAATGTCATTTTTGCTCTAAAATATTGCTATTTTACTGTATCGTCGATGATGTATGATGTCATAATCCACTCAATGAGCTTCTGAACTTCCCCTTTCCTTCTGGCACTCTCTCCTTCAATGACTAGACTTTTCTGCACAATTGCCTCATCCCCGCGCCTTCCGAGGCTCCTGAGTAACCTCCATAAACTACAGCTTCCTTGCCGCCCTGCCCTGGGCATCACAACCCACAACTCACTCCTCTCCTTCGGGTGTCCCAGAGTCACCCGATGTTCCCTCCCCACCCTGTCCCATGATTCTCGTTCCCTCTCTGCTCTCCGAGCTCTCTGTACTCAGGACAGGCCGAGAGGCAAGGTGTGCTCAGATCAGCTACAACCCTCCCCGGCTCCCAGTCCCACCCCCACACCCCTACACACACTCTTTAGCAGAGCCCAGAAAAGCCCCCCTTTCCCTCCCACAGCTGATAGGAGGCTTGTTCATCTGTGGCTGCCCCAGTCTGGTTGTCAGGGAAACGGAATCTCCTTGGGAGCCTGGTTTGTCTCCTAGCAACCAATATCCCACACCCCACATCTGACAAAATGCAAAAGGGAGGACTATCCTAAAAATGAAGGTAGAAATAAAGGATGGGAAGGATGGTCAGGATGAGATGCGGAGAGAGGGCGGCCTTTGAATTAAAGGGGGCCCTCCTGAGAGTCGCGGACTTTATAACATGGAGGAGGATGGAGAGAGGAATTCCCAGGGAAGGTCCAGCGGACAGCAAGGCCCAAAGGGATCGTGAATGACCATATTAACAAAAACGCAAGCCTAACACGGACTAAGCCATCTCAAACACCAAGAACCTACGCTAGAGATTTCTCCCAGCAGTTTGCCAGAACTCAGATGCAGACTGCAATGGAGTTGGGTTGAAAGAAACACCTCTGGAACGACGAGCAAAGCACCCAAAACCCACTGGTTTTTAACGGAAACATTTCAACTACTCTGGACCGTTGTTCCTGACACGCTGCTCTGCACGCACACACAAAATAAAAATAAAATGATTTTAAAGAGGGAGGAGGAAGGCCTCGACACGCCGAGGCAATCAAGTCATCGTCCTTTCCCTGGAAAAACCCAGAGAACATTAGTCCCCCACCACCTGAGACCCCAGCAGCCGAAATTACAGCGGGGGGAAGAGTCGGGGCCAAGGGGAAGTCAGGAGGGGCGCAGACAGGGCCGAGAGGACACAGGAGGGCGAAGCGGCGCGTTCCCAGAGGCTGCCTGCAACCCGGCCATAATAGAAATTAATCATTTACTTACACCACTACATGTGACGGGGTGATTTCTAGTGTAAGGAACACATCTCTTCCTGCTAAGCACGCTCATTTTAGTGAAATGTCTGGGGTCACTCCCCGCGTGCAAGTTAGAACGATGCCGGCGCCGCCGAGCTGCTGCTGCTGCGGCTGCTGCTGCTGCTGCTGCTGCGGCTGCTGCTGCTGCTACAGCCTCTGGGCCCGGGCGCGTTAGATCAGAAACTCCGAGAGAGCAGCCCAGGTAGGACGGCGGGCCGGGAGCGGCCGCGCGCGCGCCACTGCAGCCATCGCCTCTTCCGGATCAGCATCTCCCCGCGCCCCGGGCGCCCAATGTCATGGAGGCGCGCCGGAGCCGGGCTGCGCGCTGCCGCCCCGACCTCGGGCTGCTGGGCCGCGCCGTCGCCGCGGGTCCTGGGCTGCGCAGGCTGGAGGCGGCGCGCAGAAGCGGAGATGGGGGCGAGGCCGCCGCTGCTACGACCGGCTCGCTCCGAAGGCGCTGCCGCTTAGACGCCTAGCGCTGCGGTCCCCGAGACCGCTCGCGACCTCCTTCTTTCATTCACAAAAAAAGGAAAGGGGGGAAAAAAGAAAGAGAGAGAGAGAGAGAGAGGGAGAGAGAGAGAAGGGAGAAAAGGGGGGGTTCATGAATCGCACCAGACTGCTGCGTAACAGGCACCGCCCACCGTGGCGCGCCATTGGTGGGAAGGGGTCGGAGGGCGGGGAAAGGGCGGAGAAAGAAGGGGATTGGGAGCCCTGGTGGTCCCGCCTCCGACCCCGCCCCTTGGCCCTTCTCACTCTCTTCGTTCCCAGGGGCACGCGGCGGGGGCGGGGGCGGAGGGTGTCAGTGTGCCACCTGTGTGGGGTTGCGTTCCTCTACCTGGCGAGGCGCAAAATCTCGCTGGACTCCCACGGGGTTTGCCCCTTCCCTCCGGGAAGCTGTCAAAGAACTCCGAGAGGTACACTAGTCAGCCCTGGAAGGGATGCAGGTTAGAAGAGGGGAACTAGACACTTTTAACTTGTCCCTTAAACCCAGGCCTCCTCTATTTGCCCACGGGGAGAGTGGAGACAGAGTTTCCACCCTCTTTGCAAGCCCTCTGCGTTTCTATCCACGGCACGTGGGAGTTTTTATGGCGCCGATGGTCTGCCTCTCTCCAACACCCCTCTGCGGTGGCAGCCTGTGCCTCGCACTGACTTAGTGGGTTTCAGGGCGGGTCGCAGTACCACCTGCACCTGTTTCCCATCTAAGCCGCCTCTCCCTCCCACTTCTCCAGCAGTTGCCACTTCCATCCCACCCCCATCCCACTGCCACCTGGAGTTCACCAGCAGGCTCTCTGTCTCAATTTACTCCTCTGTAAAACAGAGCGGTTATAAGCGATGATATCTGTTATATGAGTGGTCCTCAAAGGAAGCTTCCATGTGCAAGGCTAGTGATTACAGTAGTCAGCTCAGTCTGGTCTTATCCATCCTGTCGATTGCCTCTGGGCAATTTTTAAAGCCCAGAGTGACATGCCTTTCACCTCACCGCACCCATCACACCTACAACTTGCGCCCCAAGAATGCAAATCTTCTCTCATACTAGTTTATGCAAAATATGATTAGGAAGAGAAATCCATTGCCCCCCCCCCCAAAAAGCCAAATAAAAAAGAAATGTTGCATTGTTTGAAGCATGCTCCCCATCTATGAATGCATATAATTGGAAGTTGCCCATCAATGTGTGGGTGATAAACGTGCTTTCTGGCCTGGTCCACATTCCGTGAGTGTCAGAACAGTGACAGATGCTTCCCCCACCTCCTTCTGAACCTACCTAGAGCTGAAGAAGAGGTGGAGGATGAGTGAGGGAGTGCTTCCTCACACTTCTAGCTAAGACCGACTCTCCATAAAAACAAAATATTGTCTTGAGTACATTCTTAGGAGAGAAACTAAACCATGTGTGTATAGATGTGTTCTTGCCACATGTTTGGCGTTGAAGAGCCTCGACCCACCCCTGTGTACCAGAAGTCACTTCTTTGCATCATGGTGTGGGGGGAGGGCAGGCAGAGGCTCTCCCACCACCACCCTGCTCCCCTCGCCCACCTCCAGGGTGCCAGCCTGTTGTCCTCACCTTTCACTCGCCCAGGCAGCGGGCACGGCCCCAGTACAGCACAGACAGGGAAACACCCTCTGCTCAAAGCCATGGGGCTACCAAGCCTGCAGCTGCGGAGCCAACGCCGTTCCCTCCTCGTGGGAAAAGCCAGCCCAGCCCGGGAACCACACTGCCCAAGCAAGCTGGACTGTGGGCAAAAGCATAGGCCTGGCCAAATAAAGGTGCACCCCGCCCACATTTTGTAAACTGCCTGCGGGAGAGCCAGGTGCTCTGCTGAGGGGGGTCACCTGAGTTCCAGCCTTGCTTTCTGCCCCAGCCCCCTTTCAGCTTTTCTTTAAGCCAAAGTCCTTCTGGACTACATCACCCCTTAGGCAGTCGCACGCAGCTCTCTCCCGCTGGCATAGTCCCTCCAAGTCCCCTCCTCCTCCAAAGCCAGTTCTCCCCTCCCCACCCCTATGATCCTCAAGCCTTTTTCACTGTGGACCCATCATAGCCATGGCCCACCCTGGCTGCCTTGGGCCTCTGCACCCCTCCCCTCAGCCCCGGCTTTGGAGGCCCCCTGTAGTTTCTCCCTGCTGGCCAGTGGCTGGGATCTCTCGGCCCCAGCTTCCAGCTTCTCCCCCACACCCTGGCAATCAAAGATCCTTGGTGTGAGAGGCAGGCCACCAGCGAGCTCCAGCCCTCAGCCTCTGTCTCAGTGGTGGCTGATGCCAGGCCTCCTCTCAGCCTCGCCCTGGCCTTCAATGAACTCGCCCCTCCAGGCTCCTCAAGACAGACTCAGAATTTTGGCTTCTGGGCCAGGGATCTGCCTACCACGTTTGCTTCATCTTTGTCTAGCCCTCCAATCCCAGAACCCTGGAAAATGGGGACATTCCCCAAGGCTGGGCTCCTCACCAGCAACCAAGGAGTTGTCAGCGCCGACCCAGCCCTGTCCCAGTCCCAGGTCCCAGCCTTCAGCAGTGTCTCCCTCACCTGGCACCCCCTCCACGTCCCCGCCTCCCTCAGCTACGGAGTACCGTTCCCTTGCTTCACCAGGAGAGGTTATTCTCAAGTCAGTCCCGGAGGGAGGCTTTTCCAGAAAGGCTCCTGGCCTCTTTCTCTCCCTGCCTCCTCCCTTCTTCTGCTATGCATGCGTGTGTGCACACACAAGCACCAGCCCCCTTGCTTGTTCCGTTGGAGCGCTTCAGGATCAGCAGTGGGTTCTCCCACTAGCAAGCTGGGCTTCTGTGCTGTCCCTCCACTGTTGGGCCCGGGCACTGCTCTGCCACGGCCTGGCTCGCTCACCCCGGAGGGTAGGGGTCTGGGGTGGGCGGGAACGTGTGGCTGCAGCCTGAGGGGCTACTACTGGCACCTTGAAGGCAGGACTTCAGTCTCCCCTAATATCTCTTCCCTCACCAAAGCCCCCTTGTGACTCCTCCTTCCCAGGGATATGAACCCCTTGAACCTGTTCCCCAAAAGGCACCCCTTCCATCTATCTCCATAACCACCCTCCTCAGGGACATGACATGGCTGCCATTGTCCTGAAGCCCGTCACCCAGAGGCCTAGTCTGGGGAAAGGACTCTCCGTCCGGGTTCTCAGGAAAGCTCTTGCACAGCAGGCTGTCAGCCAGTGCCACCAAGCCCCCCTGTCCCTGTGGCTCTGCAGGTCCTCCCCCGCACTGGCCCAAGCCCCCCGTGCCCCCCTCCAACCTGCCTGTTCCATTGCTTTGCAGGCCGCCCCAGCCCTTCAACTGTTTGCAGGCTCCTAACCTCTTTTCTCTCCACCCCTCTCGGAACACTGAGCCTCTGCGAAGCCTGCCCCACAGGCCTTGTGATGTGAGCTCCGCCCCCTCCCCCAGTGTGCAGAGTCTGGGGCACGTGGCATTGCCACCCTGTGCTTGGGGCAAACTTCAGAACCAGCAGAGAGCAAATGCAGAGGCATCTCAACATGCTGAGACCCAGCGGGAGGAGGGGATCAAATCAGGAAAGCTGGGAGTCTCTCAGCCTCCATGCCCAAGCCTCAGGGGCATGGCCAGGTCTCTGCAAGGGGGTGGGACCTGCTCCAGGCCTTTGCCCAAACAGTTCCTTCACCCCGAACACTCTTCTTCCCACCTCCTGCACCTGCGTAATGCTTACTCATCCTTCAAGTCTCAGCCTAGATGTGACTTCCTCCAGGAAGACTTCCGTGAATACCCACTACAAAGTCTGTATTCCCTGCCCTTCCTCTGTGCTCCCCTAATAATACCAGTCACGCTTCTCTATCACTGGGTCTCTCTCTCTCTCTCACGGTACTAAGAACTCTTCAGGGGAAGGGACTCTGCTCATTCAAAAGAGTGTCCTTCGTGCCGATATGGTAACTAGCACGCAATAAGTGCTCGATCAATGCCTGATGGATGAATGAAAGTCTGAGGTGGGAAACTCGATGGGGAGGGAGTTGACACCACCCAGGGGCTCCTCACATTGTGTCCAGAGAGGCCTTCCCCAGACTATACCGGCCTTTTCTTCCGGCTGCCACTGCTCCGTGCTCCCTGGAGGCTGGTGGCTGGGTGGGACCGAAGGGAGCGGGACTGAAGGGCAGGGGAAGGCAGTGGAGGGAACGAGGCACAGGCAGGTTGTTCAGCCCAAGCAAGGGTCCTACTCAGAGCAGGAGCACGGCTCCTGCTGTCCAGGCCCAAGGGGCGGAGACACCCGGCCTGGGCACCGAGGCAGAGGCCGCCCCAGGGAGTCAACGGGCTGTTCAAGGGGCTGTTCAAGGGGCAGGGAGTGGGGGCGTGGTGCATGCCCTGGGCAGGGTGGGGGGATGTCAGTGCGTTTGGCGCCGGCTTGGTGACTTGGGAAGTGGTCCATTGTGCAACAGGGGGCCCGGATTCTGTCCTCGTTCTGTGTGATGCCAGACAATTCCCTCCTCTCTGTGGGCCTCAGCTCTCTCATGTGCAAGGTGAGGGGGCCTTCAAGGTTCATTCCAGCAGCGACATCTAATACGGGCTCCTAGCATGGAAGGGCTGTGTTCCATCGGCCATGCTTTTCATCAGAGCAGCTCCTGACCCCGACTGGGACTCAGCGAATTATCAGCTGATGGCTGCCAAGACTGAGAATGGAAGGAGGGAGTATTTGGGAGTTGGGGGGATGCCGAGAGAGCATCTGACTCTGCAGTCATCCCTAACTGCAGTTTCCTTAAATGGTCAGTCACAATATTGTGACCAATTCAGCCAAAGAAAATTCTAGAACTTTAGGAGACATAAGGAATAAACAAGGACAGGCTCAGGAAGGCCAGCCGGAAACCTCTGGAAGCAGTTGGCACTGGATCGTTAGAGGGTAGTGGAAGGGGATCTCCATCACAACCCCCAAGGAGCAGGATGGTGACAAGACAGAAGAAAGCCAAGGGAAGAAGAGTGCCCAGGTGTAGGCAGAGATGTGGGCCGTAGCAGCCCTCCTAGAGGCTGCCACCAGGAGCTGGCTGTGTGGTTTGGGGCAGGGAAATTAGTCTCTGAGCTTCTGTTGGGGAGAGCAGTGTCCAAAGACAGGAGGTGGCTAAATAACCTTCCC